AACCCTAACTGCATCAAAAAAGTAATTCTAACGCACCCGGCTTTAGACGTCCCCCAAATAAGGAAATTTGAAAAATGGGTCGGTAAAATTGATCTCTAGACAATTATTCAATGAAATTCAATTAACTTTTTTATATGAATTCTATGAATCTATAGAGTTCAAACAAATAAAAAAGTTAATCGAATTTATTGGGTGGTTGTCGAGATATTCTTGATCGATATTAAATATTTCTAACCACAGTAAAAACCAAATCTACCAGTTGTACTATATACAATTTACGTCTTAGAGACATCATTACGCTAAACAACTTTGGATTTTATAACGTTCTCTTCGCACTTATAATATTATTTCTTGCATCTGAAAATAAGCGTTCACTTTGATTGCTGTTGCAGGAATTGCAAAAAATTTTAAAATTGGAAAATACCGTTTTTTATAAAGACCAGATTGAATTTCTTTGCCATCTTTATTAGTGCTGCCAAACTCAGGACTGTTTTTTAGACCCGCCACGTATTCTAATTTTTGTTTTTTAGATCCATTAGTAACAGTCTTCTCTATATTGGATTGCACACCAGTGCCAGGTTTTGTCGATCGTTTGGCATAGATTGATCGACATCGTCCTGCACTAAACAAATTTCGAAGTTAGAGTGAAGTCTGGGCGAGATTAGGCCGCACAAATTTAATATCTTGGTTTTCATAACATGAAACTTTTAAACAGACCCGGCCGGCCGGTTTTTTTTTTAAATTTCATATATAAAAATTTTATAAAATTTTTTTAAAAAGCCTACCCGGTTATTACCGGCCGGATTATGAAAACCAATTAATTAATTTTGCATGGCCTTATATACTAAAAATCATGAAATTTTTTTTTTATTAGAGTACGAAAATAGTTTATAGGCAAGATTTTAAAGTATAAAATTGTTTTTATAGTTTTATCGATCATGATTGACAATACCTGGCACAGAATGTTGGTGTGTTAGTATAACAATCATTAGACTATTTGATAAATCCCGTGTTAACTTCGATGTGATCTACCACTTTACCCACCCCACCACATTCCCTCCTTTACCTTATAAGTCAAACTTTTCTTAAATAAATCGATATTAGCATATTAAGTTAAAAGCTTGATACGAATTAACTTTTTATTAATATATTTTTATTTTTAATGTCTTACAAAGATTGAGAACCAGGTTTTAAATTTTGGTTCTGAACCAAACTAGGTTTAACTTGGGTTTGGAACTTATTATATAAAAACCTGGTTCTTAGGTTTTTAAATTGGAACCTAAAGGCTTTTAGAACATAAACCAAACTTTACCACTCTAATATCTACTGCGTCCAATCAGAACTTTGAGGGGTTAGAGACTTCCCTCTCCAATTGACCTTGCGCTTTCTGGCAATTCATGTTCAGCCAGAAAAGGAATTTGCACATCGTTGATGATCAATGCTTTCTTCTTTAGATCAATGCATGCCTACCAATTATTTACGACGAAAATTTCGGTTTAGTTAAATTAAATGATCCAACGTGGCACAAATTAACAGTTTTATATATAAGTGTGAGTCAATAGATATCAAGCAAATTTTTTTTTTAGTAAATTTTTTAAAACTTTAAACCTTAACAAAAACTTGATCAATTTTTTTTTAAACAATTAATTATATAAGTTTATAAAATTAATTTAAAAAAAAAGTTTGAGTTTTTGTTAAGTTATTTATATTCAGAAGTTTAAAAAAAATTATTAAAAATTTGCTTGATTTCTATTGACTCACCCCCATATTATGAACCAACCTGGTGGCACATTAACATGTCCAGTCCAAATAGTACATCATTGCTTCCCTGTGTATAAGAGAAAATAAAACCACATAAAGTAAATTAATTCTCAATGTCCATGCTACCCATCGGTGTGACAAATTCTCCGTTAGTACACAAATAATTCTACAAACCTGCATAATCATAAATGAACATTCCAATGATAAATATCCAACGTGATTTTCAGCTTTAACATGGATTTCAGCTTCGACGTAATGGACGCGGCCTATAATTTCAGCTGTTCCAACTCCCACAGCATGTCCGGCATATCGTTTATCAAGAAGCCTCATAATTCTATATTTCGTAATAATTAGTGCTATTTAATGAATGATAAATAATATTTGACCAGTAAAAATTCGAACGTAATATCAATGCTCACCCGCATTTTTCGGCACATTGGGGACTCACTTAATGCAATTTTCAGTGTAAGGATTATTATAGGCATAATACAAATTGATGCTTGCACTCGCACTTACTAATAGTACTTTGACATCCGGAGTCCACAA